CCTCCTTGATGTTGGGCCACCAGAGTGTGTGGCCACTGCTCTTCAGTGCTGCTTTTAGAATGGATGGAAGCAAGGCTCTGCCCCGAGGCCCAGTGTGCTCTCGGGGTGGGGGGCTGCGTTTAGCTAAGAGCGTTGGTGGCCCGGGGTGGTGGGGCGCTGGGCCTGGGGGCGGTGCTCACAGGCTCTGTGTCTGGGATGCCAGCGCAAGCTTGCCTGCAGGAATCTTTTGGTTCCAAGATCTTTGGGAAGGAGAAAACCCAGTCGCTCAGATCCCTGGAGGGGGCAGGGTCTGCACACAACGAGCCAGGGCGCCATCTTGATTTGGAGGATCTGCAGTACCTCGGCTTCGGTCCTCACCGGGGCCTGTGTTCTGGCTTCTTAAACACCCAGCCAGGCAAGGAAGGGCTCAGTAGTTCCCGAGGGCCAATTAATTGCTACAACAGGAACTCAGAGGTCCAGGTCTTCCTGAACCTCCAGAAAATCAGAATTGGAAGGGAGGGAGGAAGGAAGGGATGGAAGGAGGGAGGGAAAAACAAATCCCACAATGCCCAAAGGACAATGGAGGAAAAGAAAAGACCAGAAAAAATCTCAAGACCAATACACGAAAACTCCTAAATTATTACTCTGTATCATAAAAGCAGAAATTAGACTCAATTGCTCTATTATAAATTTGCTAAAAATACCTATATATATATATATTATCTGAACAGAAAAATAGAATACTCTGAGATGCGTGGGCATCCTGGGATGGGCCGCACACGGGTACTTCCAGAGGCAGGAGAATGGCAACAGAAGCTGCAGAGGTAACTGTTATCTGGGGTGTGGCGGGTTGGTTGGCAGGCGGAAACCCCCCTCCCCAGCTAGGGGATAGAAAAGAAATGGGGAACCGTCACATAAGCAGAAGTGGGCTGGCATGCGCCCTGGGCTGGCAGCTTCCCATTGTTCCCATGTGGGACTTGGGCCCAGGAGCCTGTTTACAGCTATAGAAAGAAAAAGAAAAAAAACAAAAAACAAAGAATCTCATCCCTTCCTGCAGGCTGTTCCCTGCCCGCCTTGGATTTAAATACCTGGACTTAGTGAGGTGATGGATAGCAGAGAAATAAGGAAGGGCAGGTGCATGGGATGGTGGCTGGCTTGTCTGCAGTGAATTTCAAATAGCCCCTTGCTCATGAACAGAAATGCACAGAAGTTATCAACAATGCACTGCAGTTTTGTGAGAGAATACAGTGGGGTTTGTTCTTAGAAGCATGGGTCTGGCCAAGCTCTGGTGGCTCATACCTGTTATCCTAGCTATTCAGGCTGAGATCTGAGGATAATAGTTCAAAGCCAGCCTGGGCAGAAAAGTCTTTGAGACTCTTAGCTTCAATGAACCATCAAAAAAACAAAACAAAACTGGAAGTGGAGGTGTGGCTCAGGTGGTAGAGCGCTAGCTATCCTTGAGTGAAAAGCTCAGGAACAGCATCCAGCCCCTGAGATGAAGTCCCAAGACCGGCATATAAATATACACACAAAAGAAGGGTGGGACTCATGAGGAGAAAGGACAGGGAGGAGGCCCAGTTACCAAGTTGCCGACTTGGGTCTGATGGAGTCTCCCCAGAACGCTCGCAGGCTCTGCCTCTGCAAGAGTCTGGCTGTTTCCCTTCTTCCTCCTTCCTTCCCCATCCCCCATCGCTTTAGAGAAAGAAGCTTCTCCTCCTTTTTCCTTGCACGTGTGCTCAAGACAGAATTCCAAAGAAGGCACTGATGACGCTGCATCGCTGCCCGCCTTCCTCCCGCCTCGCAGACTCTTCCTGTGGCCCAGGGTGCACAGCTGCCTGAGCCCTGGCCCTTTCTGACGGTGTTGGAGCTCAAGTGCAGCCAGGTTCTAGATGCGTTGTATTAAATTCACCAAGCAACCACCTGCTTCCAGCTCAGGATCGCTTCTCTGGTTGGACTTGTTTCTTCGTGCTCTGATTGGTTCAGAAATGGGTGGAGCCATCGAGTTCCAGCCACTGCTGCCTCTGATCCACTACTTTTCTGTCTGTCTCGTTTAGCTTCTCAGTGAGGACTGCGACCCCATGTCCCATGGTGTGTGTACAAAGGTACACAGGAACGGGGCAGGCGCGCACAGATTAAAACTCCAGGTGTGTTCTTTTTTTTGGGGGGGAGTGCCTGGGAAAATTTGCAGTACTCTATTCTGAGTTGATCTCAGGGTAAAAGCCATATTCCCCAAACACATACACACACAAGTAAAAGGGGAAAAAACAAACCCGAACAGCAATACTTTGTAAGCATAGATTATGCTGAATTTCAGTGATTGTTTCTATAAGAACTCTATGGAAAGGTCAGTTCTTAACAATACTTCTGAATTCATCCTTCAAAAGCGACTCAATAAAACACTACTTAAGGTCAGACAGGACGGGGGGGGGGGGGGGAGAGGAGGGAGGGGGGAGGTCCCACGTGACACAAAGGGGCCTTTGGTTCCAAGGAGAGTTGCACCACTTAGTTTTTCATTGAAAGAAAGAAGGAAGGAAAGAAAGAAATGACTCCCAATATGCACACATCCGCTTCAACCCACAAAGGAACTGCTTGGTTGGGAAGGAATGGAACGTTCCTTCGCGATCTATATGGCTATATTTAAACATGGTCACTTTCCTGATATGTAAAATAGACTATTAATATAGGAATTTTTACACATAGCATCAGCTCTAAAAATATCGGAATCGGAAATCACGACTATTGACTTTTTATCAAAAAGCGTTTGTTTTCCCTGAATTTCCACGTGTGTGCTGATGGTGGATGTCAATGGTGAGAAGAACAGAGACACAGAGAGGTGACCTGCAGAGGACACTCCCTCACCCCGACCGCGCCCCGGAAGCGCATGCGCGGCTGCTTCCCATCCCCCGGGGCGCCCGCCCGAGCCGAGTGTCCTCTCTTCCTCTCCCCGCCCCCAGTCCATGTGCAGTTGCTGTGGGAAAACTCCAGAGATCCCTACGAGGAGGCAAGTGTGAGTTTCCTCAGTTTACCCAGCCAACGTCCTCACGGGGCCGGGAGAGCCCGCTGTCCCTGGAGGCGCGGGAGGTGACTAGAACTGGGATTCCATGCAGGAAACACGTGTTTTGGAGGGTGGTGCAGCAATCTCCTGTCACTCGTCCCTGCGACACGGACCAACTGCGGCCGGCAGGGGCAGAAGGCTCAGATAACCAGACGGACAGGCGGACCAACAGGCGGACTGCACGTGGTACTTAGTACTGGGTGGACCAACAACGACTTCCAGTAGGGCCTGCGAAGCCAGCCCCGGCACCGCTCAGCCAGGAAGATGTGTCTGTCACTGAGGACAAGCAGGACCGCGCTGTGGCCCCGGGACGCCATCATTGACACCGGATCCCGAGGACAACGTTCCACGTACCTCGACGGGCAGGCGGGCACGCCACACAACCACCGCGCGACGCCGTCCAGCGCTGCTGCCCCAAGGCGCCGTCGGACTACAAGCAGTGGAGGACAATGGGAGGTCGCCACGCCACAACAGGAGGACCAACACCAAGACACGAGGAGCCACGGACTGCTCAGGAAACGCAGATACTTATTGCTTTAGTGGGTACCGTCAGCCCTGGCTGCAGAGGCCAGGGCTGAGCTCTGAGGACAGACTGACACGGAGAATGCCGACGGCCGGCTGGGGCCGAGCGCACACCCACCGCCTTGCCGTCTCCACGCCCTCCCATGGCGTGCCCGGCCCCCTGCATGCGTGGCCTTAGGCAAGGGCCCGCGAGTGGGCCGGGGCAAGCTGGAGGGGGGGCAGGGAGAGAGACCCTAGGACTCCAACACGGGGACAGGGCGACCCACCGTGGCTGGAAACGGGCCTGAAGCAGCAGCGCAGCTCAGGGCCCACCAGGAACCTGCGGGAAGGTGGCTTGTTTTAAAATGCAAGATGGTGACGCTGCCCCTGGTAGAACCTAGTTTTGAAGAACATAAAGGGTTTATTAACTTTTTTTTTTTATAGCTTGAATACCACAAGAAACAAAAAAAAAAAATTTTTTTTTTCTCTACCATAGTAGGTGTGTTCTCCACTGCGGGAGCCGCTCAAAAAGTCTGGACTGGCATTTCCAAGAGAGGGGTTCCGTGTGTGTGTGTGTGTGTGTGTGTGTGTGTGTGTGTGTGTGTGTGTGTTTCCTTTCATTTTTGCAGGTTTAAAAAAAAACCCGACATCGATTTTCTGCCACTCTTCAGCAATGCACGGTTTCCTTGAAGAAGCGATTTCTTTTGCATATTTGACACTTGGGTATGTTTTTGGGTCTATGCTAGCAGTGTACTTAGAGTGGTTTCCTTCTATGTCCTAAAACAGCGCTCACCCCTGGCGGTGGCAGCCTCTGAGCGCGTGTCAACGCCCATGGGGACCAGGGGAGCCTCACCGGATGCCATCCCCAAGGAAAACCTCAGCTCCTGGGGGGGGACCCAAGTCAGCTGCGAGAGGGTCTTGCGCTGGGGCCGTGGCTTAGGAAGAGATGTCTCCTGACATGAGTGTCCCCCTCAGCCTCCGGTCAGTGGGGTCCAGCCAGGTGATAACGGACAGGGCTCCCAATTGTGAGTGGGCCACACCCACTACCAAGTTGATCAACTCACTCAACATCAGCCACTGGCAGCCGAGGCGGGACGGACGGAGGGAGACGCTCATTCCCAAGGCTGTGATGCTGTGCTGGGAGAAGAGGAGGAGCCGGCCTTGGGGAATCTGAATGGTGGCAGAGGTGGCTGGGAGCCATGTCATCTCCACAAAGGCCAGAGGAGCTGTTCCAAGGAGCCTCTTCCCCCCGCCCCCACACACACCCCCATGGCTTGTCTGCTTCCAGGCAGATGGACCTGTCCAGGCTCTGTGGGTCCCCAGGAGCCCCCCTCTGGGGACGTCTCCTCTCACCCGGGGATTCTGCAAGGCCTTTCTTTTTCCGGGTTCGTGCAGAAGAGCTGGGTGACTGCAGTCAGCCCCGCCTCCTCGGGCCTCACCCACAATTCTGCTGGGCGCAGACCATTCAGATACTTGGGTCCCGAGGGCTCCCGTGGGCCCCTCCTCCGGGCAGCCGGCGGACGTCAGGGGAGACGTGATTCTCCAGTTTGCCCTTTTCCTGACCGCCGGGGCCCTTGCCGGCGGCCAGCGTCTCCGGGGGGTAGATGCAGTTCTGCCTTAGGAACTGTGGCGAGGGGGGGAGGGGGGAGCTTTCAAAGTGGTTCTTTTCTGACCTGGCCGGGGCACTGAACTTGGGGCTGGTGCTGCCGCGGAGGCTCTTGGGAGGGCTGGAGTCCACGCTGTAGAGCAGCTGGCCCTCATCGTCCGTGTCCGCGTCGATGAACTGGTGCACGCCCGCCTCGAAGCTGAACGCCGTGGCGGCGCTGCCGGCAGCGTGCTTCTCCGGCGACCGAGACGGAGTCCTAGCACTTGCCGTGGTGAAGATGGAAGGTTCGGGGTATGGGACGGGCTTGTCCAAGAGCGAGGCGCACTCCAGGCCCGCCACGGCGGCTGCCGCACCCCCTCTGGGCCTAAGAGGGTCCTCGTACACCCCCAGCACGGGGAGCAGCGGACCGGGGTCCCCCTCCAGGAAGTTGACTTTCAGCGCTCGGAGCTTCAAGGGGTTGGTCTTCAGGGAGCTCTTGGGGCTCTCCATGAAAAAGCTGGAGCAATGGCTGCCATCGGGGGTGGGCGTGGAGTTGGTGTCCACCAGTCGACCCCCGCTGGCACCCAGGGCTCCCCGCCAGGCCCCCTCCGGAAGGGCGCCAGCCCCGGCCTTGCTGGGGAGGGACGCCAGGGGGCTGTGGGAGAATCTCGTGGCTTCGGGGAAGTCCGTGGCGCAGCTGATAAAGCTGTCGATGCTGGACATACTGCGCATGTCGATGACGCCTTCAGCCCGGGCGGGCAGCGGGGCGACGGGGCTGGGGATACTTTCCATCTCGAGTTCTTCCTTTGGTTTGCTCTGGGGTGCCGACTCTTTGGTGTTGAGGATCGGCTGGGACTGGGTCTTGGCCATCTTGCTGTACATGTCCTCCAACTGCTGGACGTTGAGGTGCTGGGGACTGGAGGAGGAGCGCGCCTTCTCGGGGGAGCCCTGCTCCTTGGTCTCGAAGGACTTACTCGAGCTGTTTTCTGACAGCGTCCGCTTTGTCCACTTCCACTTGGGGGACAGGTGGTTGTCCTGGATTTTGTCCTTCTTGCCCACGTTCTCCCCGTTCTTCTCCACCACGACGTCCATCATCTCGATGCTCCGGGCAAAGGCGTCCTTCATGTTCATGGACACGATGCTGCCGTTCCGTTTGGCCCTCTCCAGGGCCTCTCTGCGCTTGATGGCTTTCTCCTGCCTCTTCTGCTCCTTGTAGAACTCGGAGAAGTTATTGACGATGATGGGGATGGGCAGAGCAATCACCAGCACCCCCGCGATGCAGCACAGCCCCCCGACGATCTTCCCCAGGAGAGTCTTGGGGTAAATGTCTCCGTACCCCACCGTCGTCATGGTGATGGTGGCCCACCAGAAAGAGGCCGGGATGCTTTTGAACTTGGTGTCGTCCTCATCCTTCTCGGCAAAGAAGACCAGGCTGGAGAAGATCATGATGCCCATGGCGAGGAAGAGGATGAGCAGGCCCAGCTCGTTGTAGCTCCGGCGCAGGGTGAAGCCCAGGGACTGGAGGCCGGTGGAGTGGCGCGCCAGCTTCAGGATGCGCAGGATGCGCATGATGCGAAAGATCTGCACCACGCGCCGCACGTTCTGGAACTGCAGCACGCTCTTGTTGGACTCCGTGAGGAAGATGGTGACGTAGTAGGGCAGGATGGCCAGCAGGTCAATGGCGTTGAGCGGGCCCTTGAAGAACTTCCACTTCTTGGGCGACGACAGGAAGCGCAGCAGGTACTCCATCGTGAACCAGGCGATGCACACGGCCTCCACGTGGGCCAGCTGGGGGTTGTCCGTGCTCTGGCCGAACTCGTCCAGGCTCTGCAGCTCAGGCAGCGTGTTGAGAGACAGCGCGATGGTGGAGAGGACAATGAACATGATGGAGATGATAGCCAGGATCTGGGAGGAGGAGAGAGGGGACCCATTACTTATTTGTCTGTCCATCTGTCTATCCACCTGCTGAGACAATCTGTACCTAGGGGCTTGAACTCAGGGCCTGGGTGCTGTCCCTTAACTTTTCTACTTAAGGCTAGTGCTCTATCACTTGAGCCACAGCTCCACTTCTGGCTTTTTAATGGCTAAGTGGAGATCAGTATCTCATGGGGCTCACACCTGAAATCCTAGCTACTCAGGAGGCTGAGATCTGAGGATCATGGTTCAATGCCAGCCCAGGCAGGAAAGTCCGAGAGACACCTATCTCCAATAAACCACCAGAAGTGGCGCTGTGGCTCAAGCGGTAGAGTGCTCTCCTTGAGCTAAAGAGGGACAGTGCCCAAGCCCAGAGTTCAAGCCCCACAACTGACAAAAAAAAAAAAAAAGCCAGAAGTGGAGCTATGGCTCAAGTGATAGAGCGCTAGCCTTGAGCACAAAAGCTCAAAAACCTCAGCACCCAGGCCCTGAGTTCAAGCCTCAGGATCAGCACCAAAATAAATAAATAAATGAGAGAGAGAGAGAAAGAGAGAGAGAGAGAGAGGACTCACAGACTTTGTGCCCAGGTTGGTTTCAAACTGCAATCCTCAGATCTTAGCCTCTTGAGTAGCTGGGATTACAGGTGTCAGTACTGGTGCCCAGACCTTCTCACCAGATGATCTCTGGAATCCACAGAATCTGCAGCCTCCCCCGCCCCCTCCATCCCCCCCCCCCCCCCCCCCCCCCCCCCCCGCCCTGCCGCCGCCGATCCCGCAGTGCTCAACACTTGCAAATCTCACTACTCATTGACAGGATGAGCTTGAAGCATCCTTATTCAGCTGGGCATGGTAGTTCATGGCTGTAATCCTAGCTACTTAGGAGGCTGAGAAGGGGAGGATGGAGAATTGAAGCCAGCCTGGGCAGGAAAGTCCATGAGACTCCATTCCCACAGAAGAAACTAGACACAGTGTTAATACCAACATACCAGCCATGACCCCCAGATAGGCCTGAAGCAAGGCCCTTTCCTAAAAACAACCACCTTTGTACAGCCTGGCTTCCCCTGCTGCCCAGCCCTGCCCTGCAGGGTGGCCTGGCCTTGCTTGTACCTTTAATCACAGAGGTTGCTGATTGGCCCCTGGGGGGATAGAACCCAGGGGGAGCCAATCTGCATATGGGAGAATTCGTTCTCAGAGCTCTGGATGGTGAATGGATGACCTTTGAACCCAACGGCCAGGTAGAAGCCAGGCTTGCACCTGAGCCCCCATAAACCTGAGCCCTAAGCAAGCAGCCCTCAAGTTGCAATGGGCCATAAAAGAATCAGAGCAAATGGGTCATTCCAGAAAAGTCAGACAAGGAAGGAAAGAGGCAGCGAGGCCCCAGGGACTCAGAATAGGACACAGACAGCAGATGTCAGGGGCTCAGACTCTGGTCTTGGTTTGTTCGGGGTTCCTGAGCCCCTGGCCCAACATTTCCTTACCCTGAGGGAAGTTGTTTACCTCTCCAGGCCTCAGTTTCCTTGTCTGTGAAATGGGTCAATAAGGGCAGTGTCTGCTGCCAGTGCTCCTGGTCACGCAGCTGACTTCCTGCTGCACACAGGGCATCTGGTACACCCCAGCTCTCGTTCTGGGGGGCCACATCCCAGGCCACAGCACCCTGCCTCCAAGGACCCTGTTGATCTTTGCTTCCTGTCTTTGGCTAGCATGGCCAGCTGCAGCCGGTAAGCACACCCCCTCGTGGCAGGGCACCGTGAGGTTCCTGAGATCAAGCAATGGCTGTGTGCTCGTGGACAGCCCTCCAGGACAGACACAGGCCTCGGCCAAGTCCCCCAGGGAACTGCCCCACCCCTGGCCCTGGTGGTTCGGAAGGAGTGTCTGTCCCTTTAAGAGCGTGGGGGCTGGCAGGGGAGGCCGGCTCCCTTCTCTCCCGGCGCCTTTGTACCCCAGCTTGGGCTCCTTCCTCAGACAGAAGGTGCGTAGGGAAGAAGAAAAGGGGCCCTGGGGGCGCGCTGCTGCTGTGGGGTCTGGCCAGGGAGGTCACATGCCCATGACACCTGTGGGCACAGAGCCCAGCGCCCCCTCCCACCTCCAGGCCCCACCGCCCACAGGCACTTCTCTTCCAGAACTTCTGAGAGTGAGTCCCGCCCTCGGTGCCTCAGTTTCCCCCCTCCGTAAGACAAGAGGTTGCTGCAAGACTGCAATGCCCATCCATGCCTCCCCATGGCTCTCAGATCAGCTTGTGGCCACGAGTGGTAACTTTCTTTGTTCTTCCTACTTATAAGCTGGGCTTGGACTTGAGTTCGAGTCCTGGTGCTTTTATGTCCCCGCAGTGTGGCCTCCATATTGTTCTCCTTTAAGTGGAGAGCTCTTGTTCCCGAACACTTCTCCCTTTATTCACTCACTACTCTCCACTCTGCGCTCCTAGGCCAGAGGCTTCCGGAAGGGTGGGGTCAGGCCCGTGGACCTGGGCCTGGGTGGGCCTGACGTGAGGCTGCCCCCACCTCGTCCTCCTGGCCCGCCTCACACTCTGACAGGGCCTCTGCTTTCCTGGGATCGGAGCCCATGGGGTCTGGGCAGGATGCCAGCCCACGGCCCAGAGCCAGCCCGGGGCCTGGGAGGCTTTCCACACATTCCCTGCTGGCGGGGAGGTGTGGGGTTCTGTGGGAGCCCTGCTGTCCACAGGGGGAAGTGGCCGGGTGGCTGAGACTTCAGGCTGAAGAGCTATGCATCATCTGAACACCCCAGCTAGGAGGTGCGGCTGGAGCAAGGGCCCTGAGGTAGCGAGGCTGGCACATCAAGCTTCTTTAGGGGCCGCATGTGGCTGGGGCTGTGTGAGTTGGGGGCGCAGCGGAAGCAGAGGCTGGGCCGGCGGCAGGGCCTGATGACAGATGTGGATTTTCTATGAAGGTCCCCTTCCTTCTCTCTCCAGGCATGTCTCTGCAACATTGTACCCTGTCCTGGTGAAATGACTGACCCCTGGGGAGGCTGCTCACACGTCAGGATCTGCCATCTTCCCCTCCCCACCTCCGCCTTTCTGCCCATTCAACTGCCCACTCCTGGGGGCAGGTCCCTCCTCAGCGATCCCCAAGACCCCTAGGGTCTTCTATTATGGAGCTGGGCTGGTTGGGCTGGGACTGTTTCCTTTTCTCTGTCCCCCATAAGGCCAGCATGGGGGGGGGGGGAGGCGAAGGGCACCCGGGGGAGGACATCTGGGTCATGCCCAAGTCCCCAGCTTGGAAGCAGTGCCTCCTTCCCTCCGCAGCTGATGAATGAACAATTAAATCGAGGAAGCTGAGCGACCCTGGGTCACACAGCTTGTAAGCCGGGGACTTTGCATACACCTCAGGTCCCTGGGTCTCCCCAAGACTCTCTCAAGGACATAGAGCGAGGTGGCTTCCAGACCAGCAAACCTTTAGCTCCTTATATGGTGTTTCCGCTTCCGGCTTTGTGGCGGGATTACAGGGAGAGTTTTAATTAGAAGGGTTACCGGAGTAGATCGGATTAGGGGGGATTGGGAGCAGCCTGGGGTTTTGCCCCTTTCCTATAGGTGGGGGTGGGGGGTGGGGAGAGCCCCCAGGGAGGCAGTTACAGGGGACAGGGGTGGCCCCGGCCGCTATGACCCATGGGCTTGAGGCTGAGACATTTATCTTCTCCTAGTTGCCCAAATTTCAAAATGGGGAGATTTCACCTAAAAATCCAGATTCCCTTCGTAAATCCACCGTCTGCCCGGGATTTCCAGCGGCGACCACTGGCCGGCGCTAAAGAGCAGCTGTCCCGCAGGCCAAGAGCCCGGGCAGCCCGTGCCCTGAGCATCTCTGGACCTGCGGGTCCCAGATCTGCAGCGGGGCGCCCACCACGCAAGTAGGAAGTGTCTGCATTGCACCCGATCATCCGGCCTGCTGGGTGCTCACGTCTTGGGTCTGCTCAGCCCCCTAGCCGCTCTGCCACCGCTCCGCCCCAAGCCCCACCGCCCATCGCTGACAAAGACCGCTGGGCGCTCCACACCTGACACGGGGCTTCTCTTCAGCTGACACATCTGATTCCTCCAGCCTCCCGTCACCATCCTTCATGGCACAGCCCATACTGTTCATTCTGCCCGAATGCCCTTCCCTTCCCTGTGCCTGGCTAGCTCATCCTCCCATCCCTCCGGGGGGGGGGCGGGTGGGCTCCCTGACCTTGGGCATGAGTTGGTCCCCATTGCAGACTCCCCCAGTGAAGTCCTACAGGGACGCCGCCTAGGGTAGAACAGGCCACTTGTGGGCAGGGGTGGGGCCCGATCCTTCCCAATCTCGAAGGCTCACAGCCTAAGAAGATGTCCAATAACCATCTCTGGTTATGGCTCCTGGTTACAGAGCTACAGGCTGTAGTGTGCCTCCTTACTTTATAACTGGGGAAACTGAGGGGCGGGAACCCTTGCCCATGGTGACCAAAAAATAGTAGAGAGTCAGGCGCTGGTGGCTCACAACTGTGATCCTCAGGAGGCTGAGACCTGAGGATTGCAATTCAAAGCCAGCCCAGGCAGGAAACGCTGGGAGACGCTTATCTCTAACCACCAAAAAAGCCAGACGTGAAGGTATAGCAGAGCACCCACCTTTAGCAACCACAACTCACCCCCAAGCTCTAAGTTCAAACCCCAAGACCAGTGTATGCGCATGCGCGTGCACGCATGTGTGCACGCGCGCGCGCGCACACACACACACACATACACACTCTCTCTCTCTCTCTCTCTCTCCCTCTCTCTAACAGAGGCTAAGTGAAGTGGCACATGACTATAAAGCCAGCTATTCGGCAGGCAGAAATCAGGAAGACTACAGTTTGGGAACAGCAAAAAGTGAGACATCGCAACAAACAAGCATGGGTGTGCCCCCTGTTACTCAAGCTATTTGGGAAGCAGAGGTAGGCGGATCGCAGTCCAGGCTTGCTTGGGCTTAAGCGTGAGACCCTGTCTGAAAACTGCTAAAGCACAAAGGGCTGTGTGGCTGTAGCAGTAGACGC